TATTTTTTAAAGTTTGTTTTATAATCACGCTCTTAACTCTCCTTACCTCCGTTATTTTTGTATTTATTTTGTTAATATTATTCCATGTAATAAAAAAATGGCTTATATATTAGTGTTCACGAAAGTGTACACTGTGTATGACTAAACTTTTTAAAAGTATACAATTTTACAAACAAATTTTTAAAAAAATTTTCAATTTATTTCAATTAGTACCTATTATCAAGATTAATAAAGCATCTTAAACGCCAATAATAGTTTGTCAATTTTTTCGGAACGAATTTGTACCATTTCTCCCTTAATTTAGTCTTTTAGCACATAACTTATTATTTCACTTCAATTAGTAACTATAAACATAATTTATTTTCATAGGCGTCAATAATAATACATAATAATAATAATATTTAACGTTTCTCTTCAACGAATTAGTTCCATTTCTCCCTCAATTTTGTTTTACAGTTCAAAACTTATTTTTTTAAATTTCAATTACGGTTGATTTTAAGTTATTAAGTTTTATAAAAACACCTCTTAAAAGCATAACTATAAACAAATTACATGCCAAGTCGTTGGGCTGATGTGAGAGCTGAAAAGAACATAGCTACTATGTATTAATAGTATCATTTTTTTGTTATATTAAGTTTTTAACAAAATTTAAAAGAAACTTTATTTAAATTTAAATTATTATCAGTCTAGATGTTCTTAAATACGAACTATTTTGGTTTATTTTTAGTTTTTTATATCATATTATTTGAATTTGGTTATAATGAATATATATACTAAAAATTTATTGTTTCTCACTCGTTTAAACAGCCAAACGCTTAAAAATGTCAAGAAATATTCTGACCGATGACTTTTACATGCCACTGAACACTTATTGCTTGGTATTCCCTACTCCTTTTTTTACCTAATATAGTCTAATAATTGTTATAATAGTAACCACCGATTATTAATACCCAATAAGCCAAATTATGCTTAATAATCAAGTGAAATTTATGCTTCATAAAGGAAATTGATTTATTATAAAAAATTTTTTTTAATTTTCTACAATCGCAACCAAAACGCGCAATCACAAGATCAGAGACTAAAACGGGACAAACCAACCATCAGCGCAACCAAAACTGGAACAAATTTTACATATATATA